GTCTAGATCCAGCCTCTTTGGAACCCCCTTTCAGGTAGTTGAAAGCAGCTATCAAATCCCCCCCCCCATTCTTCTCTTCTGCAGACTAAACAATCCCAGTTCCCTCAGCCTCTCCTCATAAGTCGTGTGTTCCAGTCCCCTAATCATTTTTTGTTGTCCTCCGCTGGACGTTTTCCAATTTTTTCACATCCTTCTTGTAGTGTGGGGCCCTTGTTACCCTGTCAAAGAAAGCTGTTAGGTTGTTTTAACAAGATCTGTTCTTGTGAAATCCATGCTGACAGTTACTTATCACCTTATTTTCCTCTAGGTGTTTGCAAATTGATTGCTTAATTATTTGCTCCATTATCTTTCAGGGTACCAAAGTTAAGCTGACTAGTCTCTGGGTTGTCGTTATTTCCCTTTTTATAGATGGGCACTAATTTGCCCTTTTCCAGTCCTCTGGAATCTCTCCTGTCTTCCATGACTTGTCAAAGATAATTGCTAATGGCCCAGATATCTCCTCAGTCAGCTGCTTGAGTATTCTAGGATGTATTTCTTCAGGCACTGGTGACTTGAAGACATCTAAGTAATTTTTGTCGAAGTAATTTTTAACTTGTTCTTTCCCTATTTTAGCCTCTGATCCTACCTCATTTTCACTGGCATTCAGTATGTTAGATGTTCCATCGCCACCAACCTTCTTTGTGAAAACCTGAAATGAAGTCATATAGCACTTATGCCATTTCCACATTTTCTGTTAGTGTTGTTTCCCCCTCGTTGAGTAACAGACCTACCCTGTCCTTGGTCTTCCTCTTGCTTCTAAAGTATTTGTAGAATGTTTTTTGGTACCATTTACATCTCTAGTAGCTTAATCTCATTTTGCGGCTTGGCCTTTCTAATTTTGTCCTTACATACATGTGTTATTTGTTTATATTCATCCTTTATTTGACCTAGTTTCCACTTTTTGTAGGACTCATTTAAAGTAGAGCCCTTTCCTAAGAAAAGGTGAGGGGGTGCCCCCTTTGTTAATCACTAGCCTCTGAAGGAATAGAGAATTGCAGTATCTCCCGAGGTGGTAAGATGCCCTCCTTGGAACCTTTACATAAGCCCCCAGAGCATTTAAAGCCATTGAAAAAAGTTCCTCTTCTTCCTGGCCATTTAAAGCAGCATTTGTCATATCAATTCTCTCCATGAGGAGAGTCTCAAATCAGGCCTATTTTACGCTACAGCATTGCTCCCACTGATGTAAGTCACCCACTACAGCAACCTAACAACTCCACCTGTGTGAGAGGCGTAGTGCTTAGGTCTATGTAATTAGGGTGGTGCAGTGTCTGTGTAGATGCTCCATTTCGTACATCACCTATTGTCTGTCAACTAAAGCTGAAGAAGAAAAGGTATTCAAGGATTCTAGCCAAATAGATCTGAAATGAAGTTTCATATCTGTGCTGCACCCTGTTTCTGACCCTGAGTCACTTGTCTAGTTTTCCACCTCACTGTGCATCAGATATAAACATCTTGTACTTACCGTCAAGGCTTTGTGTCTCTGAACTGTCTCCTTTCACATTTCCCCTTGCCCCCTCATTCTGCCAATGCTAGCTTCATTCTGCCAGTGCCACCTTATCTCACACGTTTCTCCATGTCTCTTTTAAATCCTGTGCCCTACCCCTGGAATTCACTTCCCAAACCTAATTGGTCAGATTTCCTCATACCTCATTCACATTCCTCTTAAAAATTCACTTCTTCTGTCCCATCTCTGAAGTGTGACATAGGGAGAGTGAAGACTAAAATATATTTTACTGCATTCAAGATGTCTGTGTATTCATTGCTGTGGGAGCAGCTTCAGCTGTTTTTCAGTCCAGGTGACCTGCTGTATATTGACCTTTGTCACTTCTAGCATATAAGTGTGGTGATGAGGTTGTCGAATGTATATGTAAACTACATTAATCACAGAGAGGTGGCCGTTGCCTATCATTACATGTGTGTTGGAGAGGGTGGTCCTGTTGATTAAATCTTTTGTACTTTGTTTTCTGTATGGCCCCAAAAGTGTTCTCTGTGATCCAGTGGTAAGGGGGCAAAGTTCAATTCCCTGGTCTCCCTTGGCTTACTGTGTGACCTTGGGCAAGTCACTTCTCTCTCTGTGCCTAAGTTCTGTCAAACGGGGATAATAGTTCTTCCCTAATTCTTAAGGGTGTTGAGGTTAAATACACTAAAGATTGTGAGGTGCTGGGATACTATGGTGATGGGAGGTGAGGCATGCATACAAGTGCCTTTATATAGATAATGATAAGTTGTTGGAGTTTCTAATTGGAAGGTAATATTTTTATCTTTTCAATAAATTTTCACTGTATTTTAATTTCTCAGGTGGATCTAAGTCAGAAAGTCTGTGTGGATCCCCTTCTTCAACCAGTGCTGTTAAACATGCTGGTAGAGTAAATCAGGTCAACACTGCATAATTTTCTGAATCAGGTTCTCAGCCTTTTTCTTTCTGAGGCCCCTGACAACATGCTATAAAAACTCCAGGGCCCAGTTTGGTTGGGAGGGAGTCAGGGCTCTGGCTCAGGGGTTGCGGGGGCTTCTGGCATAGGTGTAGTTTGACTTCTATTTTGGGTGGGCAGGGGCCAGTGGGGCTTGGGCCAGTTCTGTATGGCGGGGTCCAGGGAGGGAGCGCCGCCTCCATCCCCTGATTCACCTCAGCAGGCCACCCAGCCTGTCTGGGTTGTGGAGGGTGGGCGGGGACACAACCAAAAATTATAACTCAGGGAGTGGGGTGGTGAGGTCTCAGCTCAAAAAGTTTGAAAACAGCTCAGGGTGCAGAGAAGGGCAGGTAGGAGCTATGTTCAGGCAGGGCGTGTAGCTGAGGGCTGCACACAGGAAGAGGGTAGCTCAGGGTGCAGGGAAGGGGTAGCTAGGGACTATGTGTGGGCAGGGAGGGGTACCTTAGAGTGCAGGGAGTGGGTACCTGACGTTACAGGGAGGGCTTCTCTGCCGTCCCTGTTCCCCGAGGGCTCCGCCAGCCATGGAGTCGGGTCTCCCTGCCTAGGCAGCTCTTACCAGCTGCGTGACCAAAGAGGCGGGGAGCTGAGGAGCAGCTTCAACCCCTTGCACCAGCAGGAGATGAGGGAACATGCTGCCTGCTAAATGATGTCAGCCAGACCAGCAGATGTCCTGCACTGCCCGGCTCTGGCTTCCTGCCTTCGACCTGGCCTGGGGGCGGGGAGAGGAAGGCGGGGGGGGGGGGGGGAGGGGGCGCAAAGGGAGAGCGTGGGTGGAGCTGCCCTGGGACAGTCCTGCTTTTGCACTGTAGTTTTGCAGGGTAGAGTAGCATCCTCTGTGCCCCCCAACTCTGCCCATGGGCTCAGAGCTTCTGCCCTGTGGGGGGTGCCGAGAATTGGGGCTTCAACGCCATGGCTCCCAGCTTCAGCCCCGTGGGAGATGCTGGAGATTGGGTTCTGGGTTTTAGCCACGGGGCCCTGTGGCCCCCCCTGAAAAGGTTTGTTGGTCCCCAGGGGGCCACGGACCCCCTGTTGAGAACCACTGTTCTGAATCACGTTCTTCTTAAGTATACTTAAAGCCATTTACAGTAGTAAACTCCAGTTTGGCTCAAGTTTTCAACTACGATACACCTTTTTGTAGGTACAGCACTATTTATCTGTAATCCAATCAACTGTTCCCTGCCTAATAGTTGAATTTTATGTGTTCACTTATCTCTATATGGCTCTCTTTTAGGGAATAGTTTTATATGAGGAAAAGAAGAAACAAAAAGGAAAAGTGTTCTTGAGTTCCCAAACAGGTTTGTACATTAGATTCCACTGAACAGCAACCCGGATATTAACAACTTCTGATTAATAACAGCATTTTTCTGGGACCCAATCCTGACCCATTGACTTTTTAATGTTCGTGGGATTTGGATATTGGCAGTGGCATGCCACTTATCAACCCACCCCCCATCCCCCTACTTTTTTTTTTTTTAAAGAAGAAAGATGCAAGCTGCAGGCAGGTTCTCAGGGTTGCAGCCATAAAAGGAGGCACTGGGACAAGCTGAGTGCACCCATCACAGGCAGGTTTGCAAAACTGCAGCCACACGGGAAAAAGTGGGAAGACAGCTTCTCTGGCTGCAAGCCTGCCTGCACACGGGGATTGCACAGGAGGTAAGGGGCTGCGAGCTGAGGGGGAGCAGCGCAGTAGCTGGAGGGCGGCTAGATGCCAGAGCTGCATGGTAGCTTTCCCTGTGCTCTTCAGGCTGCAGCCTGCTATGAGGTGCAGTCAGGGAAGGAAGCAGTGAGACGTGCTGAGTTCTGATCCCTGGAGAGCACAGTGAGAAGTACAGGGCAGCCCCAGAGGCCTGCAGCAACTGGGCTGCAGCCCCCTCTCCCTGCTGCTGCCCTACTCGCAGGCCGGTTGCAGGGCTGCAGCCAGGGAATGTACTTCCCAGCACTTCCTTCCTTAGCTGCAGCCTTGCAAAGCCACCTTCCACTTAACTGGCAACTGCTGGATAATGGCAAGATTTTGCTGTTGACCAAGGGGTCGCTAATAAATGCAATCTACTGTAACTTGAATTACTTAATTGAAATTACAGTATCTAAAAGCATATTTTGGGAAATGAGCATCTCCCCCAGTCCTCGCTGATGGGAGCTCTGCTTTCTGTGTTGATACTGAAGGCAGTTCAAGCTTGTTGCTAGCACCTTTTGGGCTAAGCCCAGCCTCTTTGTCCACCAGAGTTTTTTCCTCTGGCAGCAGAACCAGGAGGCAGTTCAGCATTCCCCTAGTTTGTTTAGTTTTATTTTTTTATTTACCATCAATAGGGTGTGTTTGTTTTTTGGATCAATTTCTTAGGGGCCAAGGCATTAAAGGTTCTTTGTACAAACCAACTACCAATCAGAGTAGGAGACTGCAGTCAGATCATGACAAAGGATAGTTAAGCTCAAGAGAGAGCTTTTAAAAACAATGCGAACCACTGCCGGCTGACAAGTAAAAAGATCCCCTAGTAAGGGAGCTATATTTGCACCAGATCCCCACTCCGTGAATTCTGTGTTAGAAGCAGAATAGGACTGTTACTTCCTTACACACATCTGTTTCACTTGCTTTAAAAAAAAAAATTAATTAGCTATTACAGCCAAGTTTTTAAAAATGAGGAGTGATTCTTAGACATTTTAGTTGAATCTAATCTGGCTCAGACCAAATTAAGAACGTAAAAACAGCCATCCTGGGTCAAACTAAAGGTCCATCTAGCCCAGTATCTTGTCTTCTAACAGTGACCAATTGCCAGGTGCCTCAGAGGGAATGAACAGAACAGGTAATCATCAAGTGATCCATCCCCTGTCACTCATTGCCAGCTTCTGGCAAACCGAGGCTAGGGATCCCATCCTGGCTCATAGCCATTAATGGACCTATCCTCCATGAATTTATCTAGTTCTTTTTTGAACTCTGTTATAGTCTTGGCTTTCACAACATCCTCTGGAAAAGAGTTCCACAGGTTCCAAAAGTTTGTCCAGTTTCTGTTCTTTCCCCTTAGGGTGGAACATGCAATGTGGAGCACACTTAAAAACAAGCGGTGCTTCCAAAATCTTGTGTTCAGATCATTACTTTTCTGTTTGGTTACAACTTCAATAATGTGACACTTTCTTTTTTGGTTTCTGTTTAGGCAGCCTTGCCAATAAATACATGGCTCAGGGAAAAGCCTCACAGAAGAGGACCCACCAAGAATCATGAGGGGACTGAAGAACTCTGAAATTGCAATACAGGCCGTCCAATCACTTCAAAAATTAGGTTCATTTTGGCTAAAGCTTCTGGGCTCACAAGACAGCAGCACAAAACAATCTTCAATTTGAGTTTAAAGAAAACATGGTATTTTATTTTAATTAGATTGCTAAAAGTCCGAGGCAATGGATTTTAATGCAGTGCTCCTACTATGGACTCCTGCTCTTAATAGATTATTTGAACATTTTAATAGAAAGCCATGATGTTTGTATTTGTTTACTAAGTAAAACGTGTAGATAAGAGCAGGTGCTCATTTTCAAGATTTTAACATTCAACATGACCCTTTCAAAGTGCACCAAAATTGCGTGCAAGCCAAATATTATGTTTCATTTTTCTTCAAAAATTGACTTTTTGAAGGAGGAAATGCTATTTATTAATGTTGATTGTTTACTGAATCCTTGTGTAAAGTGTTTAAAATGTTTGTGGACTACTACTGATGTATTTGCAAACATTTTATCTGCGGAGAATTGAAAACAAACATTAGTAAACTTTTTTGTGAAACTGCTGTGGACACACTGCCACTGAGTTGTTTTTTTCTCTTTGTGATTTTATGAGTTAATATGCTGCTTTGCTTGTGTACAGAAAGACTGAGAAGCAGATTAGTCCTGTTTGATGCTGCTAAGAATCTTTCCCATGGCCTATAAAATGCAACAGGCACAATTGCTAAAAGGCAGAAAAAAGTGATAATCAGCAATTGGGGATGGGGGTTAAATGCTTTTCTCTGTTCCTAAAAAGTGAAAAAGATCCAAGTGCCAATCAAGGATTTAATTAGTGTTGTCTTAAGATTTACTTGAAGTCCTTTTGGAGCTGGTACTATACCTTCATACCCTGTTCTCGGGGGAGTAGGAATCAATACAGGGAAAAAATGAAACCTCTGTTATTTATGACTTTGAAATAAAAAAAAAGTTAAAACTTGAAATTTCTACATTTCTCCTTATCTTGTACCTACAATTCCAAGTATTCTTGCTACAAGTGCAAAATTCAATAGGAACATAGGATAATGTCATTTTACTCTAACTACTTATTTAAAGGTGTTATGTTTTAAGACTAATAGTTCCTTTCACCAAATGTCTACATCGTTATTAAAGACCTAGGCTGGGATTTTCAAAGGGGCAAGGCAGTTAGGTCCCCAACTCTCCGTGTGTGTGTGTGTGTGTGTCCCCTAAAATTCATCACTTCATAAATCTGTTCACTTACACATTGAGAGAAATTTTAGCCAAAGAATAACAGAAAATGACCACATTCAGGTGATGGAATGTTTGTCAAGTTCACTTCAACTTCATAGCTAGTGGTACTTTATCATAAAATTAAAATTCAGTCTTTCCTTTGTGGGATACTTATGGTTTTTGTTGTACTGTTTATTTGCCTGGCAGCAAAATATAAAAGTTGCTGTGTTCTGTGTATACAATGGCTCAATTAACCCTGTATTTAAAGTTTTCTTCTTTGATTGTGGACGGGAGTGAAAGATAAAAGCTTCTATGGAGCTAAGTGGCCATAGAGAGACCCCACAGCCCTTCCATAGAAGATATTCATAAAAATCATTTTTGCTCCCTGTCCCATAGCCTCCCTCCTGCCCCCTTCACCTTGGTACCTTTTGCCATGAAGTATCCAGCTATGAAATCTTCCTTGCTAATCCTGACTTCAGCTGAAGGCTGGTCCTGTGGATGCTCCCATCTTTCATTCTGAAGAAAGGGTTATTCACCTTATGCAATAACTGAGGTTCTTTGAGATGGTTGTCCCTGTGTGTGCTCCACTTCAGGTGTCCATGCACCCTGCACTTGACATCAGAGATTTGTAGTAGTAGTGCCTAGTTGGGTCGCGCATGCACCATCGCCTTCTTGCGCCACCTCAGGCGGTTACATAGTGCTGCATGACCAGCCGTTCCTCGGATCCTTTTCTACCTCAGAGAATCTAGCGTGAAACTCCAAACTAGAGGGGAGGAGGGAGGATAGTGGAGTACTTACAGAGACAATCATCTTGAGTAACCTCTGTTGCTGCACAAGATGAATAACCCTCTCTTCTTTTTTTTAAAGAGTGTCTCTGTGGGTGCTCCACTTTAGGTGACTGAGCAGTGCCCCTTAGTAGAAGAGTGGGGCTTCGGAGTTGCGTTAGTGATAGTTGATAAAACAGAGAGTCCAAATAGAGCATCTGATGATGACTGTTGCTCTATTGTGCTTTGTGAATGTGTGGGCTGATGCCCAGGTTGATGCTCTGCAAACATCAATAATGGGGATGTTGTTGAGAAAAGCTATCAATGCTGAAAGTTCTCTGGTAAAGTGTGCTGGTCCTGTTGGGGCTTGTAATTGATGCTTTTGATAACAAAAGTGGATGTGCATCCTGATATCCACTCGGATAGTCTCTGTTCTGAGATGGTTTGCCCTTTTGATCATTCTGTTATAGAGACAAATAATCTCAGTGATTTTCTAAACATTTTTGTTCTTTCAATGTAGAAAGCTAATGCTCTTGGAACGACCAGTGCCTAGAGTGATGCCTCTTTTGTCTGCATGAGGTTTTGGAAAAAATCCAGGTAAGTAAATGGGTTGGTTCAAATGAAAGGGGGAGGTAACCTTCAGTAGGAATTTGGGGCGTGGTCTTAAGGTAACTTTATCTTTAAAGAAAGTTGTGTATGGAGGGGCTAGGGGATGTGCCATTAGGGCACCTAGTTCTCCCACATGTCTGGTGGACGTAATGGCGATGAGGAAAGCCACATTCATAGATAGGTGGAGTAATGAACAGGTGGCCAGTGGCTCAAATGGGTTTTCCATAAGTCCGTGTAAGACCAGGTTGAGGTCCCACATAGGAGATGGGTTCCTTGTTTCAGGATAAGTGTTCTCAATGCCCTTGAGGAAACATTTAGTTGTTAGGTGGGTGAATATGGTGACTCATCCACCTTATCATGGAAAGCTGTGATGTAGCTGCCAAGTGTACCTTGATGGAGCTTGTGGAGAAGCCCCAGTTTGTTTAGTTCTAATATGTAATCCAGTACCCTTGGTAAAGAGGAGAATGTTGATGTGATATTTGTCCTGGCACTATATATTGAACCATTTCCACTTATGAATATATGTCTATCTTGTATTTCAGGGGTTCTCAAACTCGGGGTCAGGAGTCCTCAGGGGGTCGCGAGGCTATTACGTGGGGTGTTGCGAGCTGTCAGCCTCCACCCCAAACCCTGCTTTGCCTTCAGCATTTATAATGGCGTTAAATACATTAAAAAGTGTTTATAATTGATAAGGGGGGGGGTCACACTCAGAGGCTTGCTATGTGAAAGGGGTCACCAGTACAAAAGTTTGAGAACCCCTGTTGTATTTGGTCTACTGTTGTTCAGTAATATGTCTTTTACTTCCTCTGAACAGGTCGTTTCATTTCCTCTCAGCCCTGGAGTAGCCAGCCCTTGAGGTGAAGTATTGAGGTTGGGATGGTGGATGTGTCCCGCATCTTGGGAGAGGAGATGAGGTATGAGAGGAAGATTTCAAGGTGGGCATACTGTCATCTTTTACAGGTATGGTAACCATGTTTGTCTGGACCATCTAGGTGCTATTAGGATGACTTTGGATTTGTCCTCCTTGATCTTGTTTAGGACCCAGGTTAGGAATAGGAAGGAGGAAATGCATACATTAACGGTGCATCCCATTTGACGAGGAGAGCATTGCCTAGGGAATGGGGTCCCAGTCCAGCTCTGGAGCAATATTGTGGGAACTTGGTGTTCTGTGCTGTTGCAAAGAGGTCTATGGTAGGGAATCCCCAGTTTGAATATCGTAGGTAGAACTCCAGGGTCCATTTCCCACTCATGATTCTGTGAAAAGTCTGTTTAGTGCATCTGCTTTTGTGTTCTGACATCCCAGCAGGTAGGATACTGATATGTCGATGTTGTACCAATTCTAGAGCAGTATCGCCTCTGTGCATAGGGAGTGTAATTGTGCTCCTCCCCCCAATTCTTTGACGTTTATGTAAAACATGCACACTACATTGTCCTTGAGGATCCTGATGGCTTTTTTTTTTATTAGTGGTAGAAAGTGCTCGTATGCGTTGTGGACTGCCCTTAGTTCCAGCAAGTTTATGTGCGTGTTGGACTCCAGTGGGGACCATCGGCCTTGGACTGTGGTGTTGAGTAAATGCACTTCCTAGCCTATTAGGGAGGCATCCCTGGTGAATTGTAACTGTTGGAGTCGTTTGTAGAAATGGGATTCCTGTATAGATGTTCTTCAATTGTGTCTACCATTTTAGGGAGTCCTTTACCTTGTTTGCCGTTGTGAGATGTCTGCTTAGGGTGTGCCTGTGTGGTATGTGCACTGTTCGAAGCCAGGCCTGCAGGCATCTCGTGTAGCTTGGCGTGTTTGACGACAAACATCATCACTGACATATGTCCCAAAAGTTGTAGGCATGTTCTGGCAGATGTTTGTGGACTGTCTGTCACTGTTGATATTAAGTTGACTAGCGTGATGAAGTGTTGATGAGGTAGGGTTGCTGTAGCTGTTGAACAGTCAAGACATGCTCCAATGAATTCCAGTTTCTGGACAGGTATCAGTGTTAACTTTTGTGTGTTTGTTTGTAATCTTAAAAAAGGGTTATCATACTCTGTGTGGCATTTATAGCTTTGTGTTGGGGCCTTTATGAGGCAGTTGTCCAGAAATATCATGACTCCATGTCTGCAGAGGTGTGCTGCCACCACTGCTAAAACTTTGGGGAAGGGCCTTCGGGGGGGTCAGTAAGCTGAAGGGTAGTACTTTGTATTGGAAGTGTTTTCTTAGGGTGAACCTTAGCAATCTTCTGTGTAATGGTAACATAGAAATATGTGTCCTGTAGGTTGAGGGCCGAGAGCCAGTCCCCCTTTCCTAATGCTAGGATTATAGTTGTTAGTGTCACCATTTTTGAAATGTTGGGTTTTACAAATTTGTTGAGTTTTCTTAGGTCCAGGATGGGCCTCCACTGTTAGAAAATAGTGTGAGTAAAACCTTTGCCTCTGTGCTGTGTTGGTACTTGTGCCACTGCGGTTAGGTGTATAATGTGGTTCACTTCCTGTTGCAGCAGGTATTCGTGAGAGGGGTCCCTGAAGAGGGATGGGGAGGTGGAATGGAGATCAAAGGGGTGAAATAACCAGTTTGGAGAATTTCCAAAACCCCATTTGTCTGCAGTGATGGTGCGCCAGACTCGGTAAAACAGTGACAAGCCATACCCAAATGGTCGGGAGATAGTTCCAGCGTTAGAATGAGTGATTGTCTTGTGCCCTCGACCATACCTTCAAGAATGCTGTTTCAAGGTGGATTGTTGGGACGTCGAAGGTTGATTCTGGTTTTGTCGACGTCTGGTCTGCTTTGCTTGTGGTGTTGGTCAAACTTCCTGTGTGGCTGTGTGTACGTGGCAATGGGAATCTCTGTGTATAATACCTATCCTGTTTCTTTGTATTTGCAGGTGTGTAGATGCCCGGGGATTTTAATGTTGCCCTAGAGTCCTTCAGAATACGAAGGGACTCGTCAGTTTTGGCCACAAATAGTTTTGGGCCTTTGA